ATTTAATTATTATTATTATTATTATAGCGTTTTAACTATTAAAACTATTGAATTAAAAAAACAAAACAGTAATTACCTATCCTAGTTAAAATTTTAATCAGATAAAATAAAGGAGACAGAAGAGAGAAACAATGAGTTTTGAAAAAGCGGTTTCGGAAATTACTATCATCTTCCCGTATGTAAAATTGCCACATTTTCGTTGTTCTTTTAATAGTGTTCAAAAGTATTACAGACCTTTGTAAATTTAGGTTAACTTATTCTATAGAGTATTTTTCAGATTCTCCTATTGAAAAATGTAAAAATTTTCGTAACGTCTATATGAATGTATAATTTAAGACGACTAATGGGAGATATGTATAAACTGTACCAATTAATTCAGAATTGCTAGTCAAATTTGGAACTGCGTTCACGTAAACAAAGTTTGATCGTTAACTTCTGACTAGCAATTCTAGTTTAATTGATACAGTATACACATTTTCCCTACTAGTCATTTTGAATTAGTATATAGACTTTTATTTTCTAGCAAATATTCACGTTCTCACTGCACTGTTGTTTTCATTTTGTAGTTGAAAATACTGCTGGATTTCAATGGTAGTTTTCTAGAGACATCCATGAATTTTAGAAATATATGTAATAGGGCTATTTGTCTTTCCGCTGAGTCCGACAGGGTGAGATATTTGGACACTTTTGCTTGATATTTTAACCTAGTAGTTTGCAAGTTTTATACCGAGTTTAAAATATACTTGAACGTACATAAGTTGAAAGTAATCCTGCGTTAAATCAATAATCACAATAGAAGTCTTGCAAATGTCAAACATTTGTCTCGGCGACGGTCAATAAGTCGAAGAATCAGCAGTCATCATCATAAGGCCGTTAGTCCTAAGAGTGGTTGTACATTTAATATGTCTCTGACTAGACCTTCATGCCCGAGAAGGTGTCCTACCAACCTATTTCGCCTATTTGTTATTGACTTCCATAGAGTCCTCTGTTCTCCTATTCTTTCTAATACCTCTTCATTTCCAACCTCTATCCACGGTATCCTCATCATTCGCCTGTAAGACAACGTTTCGAACGCTTCTAACCTCTAACCACTGTCCATGTTTCGCACCCGTACAGCGCCGTGCTCCAAACATACACCTTTAACAACCTTTTTCGAATTTCTAAATTCACCGTTCGCGAGCATAGAATGGAATTCTTTTTACTGAATGCGAATCAGCGGTATGTTAAAATAATCCTTTCCTTCAAAAACATGGAATTGAATAAAAAGCACTATTGAGTTGTAATTTTTTACGAAAATTAGTTATAAGAGGTGTTCCATAAAGGACAGGCGAAAACGACATTATTTGAAACAGGGTTTTGCACTGTCTGCTCTTTTGGGAGCTAAAAATATATGTTTTTAGAGTTATGAATCCGGAATAAGTGAATTTTAGATGAGATGTGGCGCGCTTTATCCGTTTCAAATTGCTTAGAATATATAGGTAAGAGACGTTTCACTTAGTTTGTACCGTTTGTCATTTTTATAGAACGAAAGTTAAAAAGAAAATAAATCCAGCATTCAATTAGCCGCAGGTGGTTTCCGGTGATATCAAATTTCCGTCGTTTGAAACAACTAGATCGTAAAATTATGTATCTCGTAAACCTTCGGCCAGTTACCTAGGTAGGATACATTTACCACGGAGACGATGGTAATCACGAGACAGACAGCTTGGTTTTTTATTATAATAGCTTTGGTTTCGATTTGAATTTTCCAGAAAATCGACGATTGGCAGGTGGTGTAAAATCGATACTGCGGCTATTATATTAAAAAGACAAGCTGTCTGTCTCGTGATTAACATTGTCTCCGTGGTAAACGTAAAAAACAAAAGTTCTCTACAGTTAAAAATGTCACTATCTTGGGCGAAGGCAACGCTCCTAACAATTTTTTCATATTTCCGATTGTAAATCGGAAAAAATGTTTTAAAGATTGGTTTTCACAGACGAACGGGTGCACTGATGTGTTATGATATAAATAAATTGTACGCTACTTTGCTAGGCTCAGTAAGCGCTAAAGACAACAGCCGTGGTATTTCTCCGCGATAATTTTATTTTCTTTTTTGGTCAGACTGATTAATTTTATAAAAAAAAATTAATAAAACTGTAGTTTGGTTAGGAGGAGTTAGAGATAGCTTTAAATAAAATGGATGCGGTATGAAAATAAATAAAAGTAAAACAAAAATACTCGCATGAAAGGGAAGAAAAAGTAGGAAAAGAGCGAATGTAAAGATAGGAGACGAAAAATAAGAGTTATTATTAAAAAGTGGCCGAAAAGAAGTCACTTCTATGCTCGTTAACGGTTAATTTAGAAATTCGAGAAAGGTTGTTAAAGGTGTATGTTTCGAGCGCAGCGCTGCGCGGTTGCGAAACATGGACAGCGGACGCGGCGGGAAAGAAAAGGTTAGAAGCGTTCGAAATGTGGTGTTACAGGCGAATGATGAAGATATCGTGGATAGAGAAGGTTAGCAATGAGGGGGTATGAGAAAGAGTAAGAGAACAGAAGACTATGGAAGTCAATACCAAATAGACGAGATATGTTGGTAGAACACCTTCTAAGGCATGAAGGACTAGTCAGAGACATATTAGAGGCAACAACGGGAGTTAGGAGGGGTAGAGGTAGACCTACATTAAATTACTGTTCGCGAATAGTTAAGGATGTGCGATGTTCTAGTTTTTTGGTGGACCTTAAGATGATGATGTTTAGTTCGGCTATAATTATTGTTTGTTTCCACCAAATACATACGCTGCATAAAAATTTTAAATGCCATTTCTGTTTTGATTATTTCTGTTTGTTGGTCATTTAGTATAGTAGTAGAATAAAAGGGTCGTCTATATGTGTATGAATGGAAAGAAAATGATAACGAAGTAAAATTAACTAGGTACGTACTTTAGTGGTGCATTCATCGTAGAATAAATAACGAAATAAAAAGTTGAAAATTTGAAAATTCGTAGCGGCTTAACAAGAGTTGAACTGAACCGAACTCGTATAAAAGTTATAGAAATACGACCAACTCACCAACGAACGAGCATGGAAGAGGAAAGCTGAATTGCATACGGTATTAACGAGTGAAATTAATGGCTCTTTAATCTAGGAACTAGAGTGCCTCTCATGCCCTGCGATAGACCGCTTCGGTTCAGCTGAGCGCAGAAGATACCATAAAACGTCGTAATATGAGCAGCGCCATTCGCATTTCTTTTAATTATATTAA